ATGGAGTAACTATTTTAAACTCTACTTTTTGTGAAATTTATAAACAATCATTAGTATACTTTTGTGCCTTTTAGTTTAGTTGTTTGATAATTTCTCCCGACAAGTTAATCTAAAAAGACAATTTAAAAGAAATGTCTAGTTGTCTGATGGGAGGGAAGAATGAAGAAAGTGCTGTAACTTACTGTAAATGCTTTTTTTTATTTTGTTTTTAAGCAAAATTTAGATTAGGGTCAATTTATAAAATAGAACAAAAGCATACCAAACATTAACTGATTCCATGATGTGAGACAAATGAATTAAACTAAAGGATCACTTTAACTTTTCAAAAACCAGACCTCTAAATCAGCACCACTGTACAAATAAACAAAGCAGTTATGGCAACGGATTGCTGAGCTTGGTCACAAGTGATGACTCATTTCTGGATCTGCTGCATTGTTCAATTAAGCATGACTCTTAGAAAAATATAATAAAAAGAATAAGCGTCAACCTGCTTGGCAGAACACTTTGGTATGTAAACACCAACCTCAAAGTCAGCAGGTTGATGCGAACTGAAGGGCAACTTATTTTAACCACACCCATCATCCATCTGTCCGAGTCACGTGCAGTCCCGTCTCCAGCAGTGTGTGAGAGGTGAGGGACACCCTGGACAATTCTCCAGTCCATCACAGGGCCACAGAGACAAACAAGCTTTCACGCAGTCGGTCACACATAAGGAAAGTTAATGGGTACCGAGCTTAACATGCATGATTTTGGTTTGTGTGAGGATACTGGAATTTCCATAAAAACCTGACGTGCATGGAGAGAACATTCCAACTCCACACAGAAAGACTAAAAGACAAAATAAAACCTTCTTGCCAAGAGGAAACATCTCTAACCACTGCACCACCGTGTCCTTTTCAACCACACCTAAATAATAAACTAATTACGATGATGATGATTACAGTGGTTTGCAAAAGTATTCATACCCCTTGAACTTTTCCATATTTTGTCACATTACAACCACAAACATAAATATATTTCACTGGAATTTAATGTGAAAGACCAACACAAAGTGGTATACAATTGTGAAGTGGAAGCAAAATTTTACATGAATCAAAACATTTTTTACAAATAAAAAACTGAAAAGTGCGACGTGCAAAAGTATTCAGCCCCCTTTTCCCTGAGTGCAACCAATTGCATTCAGAAGTTGCCTGATGACTGCTAATGACTCAAAAGGGTCCACCTGTGTGTAATCTAATCTCAGTACAAATACAGCTGCTCCGTGACGGCCTCAGATGTTGGTTAAGAGAATATTGGGGAGCAAACAGCATCATGAAGTCCAAAGAACACACCAGACAGGTTAGGAATATGGTTTTGGAGAAGTTTAAAGCAGGCTTAGGTTATAAAAAGATTTCCCAAGCTTTGAACATCTCACGGAGCACTGTTCAATCCATCATCCGGAAATGGAAAGAGTATGGCACCACAGTAAACCTGCCAAGACAAGGCCGTCCACCTAAACTTACAGGCCGAACAAGGAGATCACTGATCAGAGAGGCAGCCAAGAGGCCCATGGTGACTCTGGATGAAATGCAGAGAGCCACAGCTCAGGTGGGGGAAACTGTCCACAGGACAACAATTAGTCGTGCACTACACAAAAGTGGTCTTTATGGAAGAGTGGCAAGGAGAAAGCCATTGTTAAAAGAAAACCATAAGAAGTCCCGTTTGCAGTTTGCCAGAAGCCATGTTGAGGACACAGCAAACATGTGGAAGAAGGTGCTTTGGTCAGACGAGACCAAAATTGAACTTTTTGGCCACAATGCAAAACGCTATGTGTGGCGGAGAAAGAACACTGCACATCACTCTGAAAACACCATCCCCACTGTCAAATATGGTGGTGGCAGCATCATGCTCTGGGGGTGCTTCTCTTCAGCAGGGACCGGGAAGTTGGTCAAAGTTGATGGGAAGATGGATGGAGCCAAATACAGGGCAATCTTGGAAGAAAACCTGTTGGAGTCAGCTAAAGATTTGAGACTGGGGCGGAGGTTCACCTTCCAGCAGGACAACGACCCTAAACATAAAGCCAAAGCTACAATGGAGTGGTTTAAAAAAAAGAATATTCATGTGTTAGAATGGCCCAGTCAAAGTCCAGACCTAAACCCAATTGAGAATTTGTGGCAAGATCTCAAAACTGCTGTTCACAAACGCTCTCCATCCAATCTGACTGAGCTTGAGCTGTTTTGCAAGGAGGAATGGGCAAGAATTGCAGTCACTAGATGTGCAAAGCTGGTGGAGACATACCCTAAAAGACTTGCAGCTGTAATTGCAGCAAAAGGTGGCTCCAAAAAGTATTGACTCAGGGGGGCTGAATAATTTTGCACATCGCACTTTTCAGTTTTTTATTTGTAAAAAATGTTTTGATTCATGTAAAATTTTGCTTCCACTTCACAATTGTATACCACTTTGTTTTGGTCTTTCACATTAAATTCCAGTGAAATATATTTATGTTTGTGGTTGTAATGTGACAAAATATGGAAAAGTTCAAGGGGTATGAATACTTTTGCAAACCACTGTATATGCATCACAGGATTCACGTCCTTGAGATAATTTGTACTCAGCCACACACTTACAGTAAGAAAAAACAATTTTGAGGTTAGTCACATCCTGGTTTGGTTTTACATTTTACTTTAGAGAAGGGAAAATCAAGAAACTGACAAGCAGCAAAGAAATAAAATTTAAAAAAACATTAAGGACTGTGGACCAACGTCTCTTTTGCAGGACATGCTAAAATACACCTCAGTTAATTTAGAGTTTGACACATAAAGGGACAGACTGGATTTTTTCTGGAGTATTGACCATAACTGTGTTGTTTACGTAGAAACTAATCCACATGGGTTTTATGGACCTTATCATCAGCCTGCTGCAGAAAAATCATCTCAGTGCCTGTGTAATCATAGACACAGGCATTGTTAAGAGGTTACAACATTTCTGCTTAAGATCTTTGTCTTGTGTTAGGATAACAGTGCCCCCATGGGGAGCTGTTAAACTGAAGCTAGAAACCTGAATAATCCCTTGAATTAGGCTTCAAATATCAGACGAGTTTAACAGGTCGTGTCCGAGGTTTCAGGCAGAGGCAAAAGATGGAAGGAGAAAAAAGCAAACTTTTCCTCCTCTAAATGTAATGTGGAATGTTGGGAAACAAAGATAAGCTTGGGGGCTGACAAAGGCGAAGCAGGAATGTTTGTGCTGTACAGCATATTTACATCTGCAGCCTATAATTAAAAAACAGATCTATTAGAGTCTTTGTGTACAACAGCTTATCCTTTTTCTCATACCCATTTTTAAATTTTCTATGTTACCACAATTTGGGCAAAACTACGGAGCCCGCGAGGGGACATGGGAGATTTTTTTATCTTTTGCATTCCCACACAATAGTATTGCGTTACCTCACAATACCTTTTGCGTTCCCTCGCAAAAGTAGTTTATCACTGTTGTGCCTGCCAGTTTATTAGCAAACTCACATGTTCACCATTAGCGAGTTAGCCTACTGCTTTAATTCAGCTTCAGAATGAATATATCACACAGCCACGCATGGACGTATGTCATATGCCAATATTTTAATACAGTACAGCCACGCAACATCAATGTCAATTTCACAAGCTTGTGGCGACACATCCTGTTTTGGTAGCCGGATATTTCAAAAATAAAAGTCTGATTTGATTCACTTCATATATAAAACAATCTTTTGCGTGGGAACGCAAAACATTATTGAGTGGGAACGTAAAGGTATTGCGAGGGAACGCAAAAGGGAAAAAAAATCCCCCCCGTGTCCCCTCGCGGGCTCCGTACAAAACAGATAACTTATTTTCTAGAGAGGTCTTTTATTATGCAAACCACTTGAGTGAGTTTGTATTACCATTACGCAATACATCCTCTCTCTCCCTGTTTAAGACTGGCCTGAAGACACATCTTTTCAGATTAGCTTATCACTGCTAACTCCAATTAACTGGTCAATGTACCTAAGTATATGACTGTTTTGTAGTCCTCATTTCGATGTTTCTCCTGCATCGTTCTATGTATATACAATTGTTTCTTTTCTATTGTACAGTGTACTTGGGTGTCCTGAAAGATGCTTTGTAAATAAAATGCATTATTATTAATTATTATTATTATTATTATTATTATTATTATAAAATAAAAAACAACATTCATTTCATGGCTGTTTTATTTGTGACAATTTTATTTGTTTGGATTTTTTCTACATTTCTCTGTTCAAACCTCTTTCCTTCTTCAAGTTTTTAAAGATGATAGCACAAATGGGACAGATTTCTGCTTTCAGAATCAGAATCTTTACTGTCATTCACACATCAAGATGCAGTGCAGAACGAAATTTGCAATTTAAAGCTTTAACTTTCTCTTCTCTTTCTCACTTCCATCTTTCTCATTTGTAGTTCTTACATTTATGGATGGATGGATGGATGGATGGATGGATGGATGGATGGATGGATGGATGGATGGATGGATGGATGGATGGATGGATGGATGGATGGATGGATGGNATGGATGGATGGATGGATGGATGGATGGATGGATGGATGGATGGATGGATGGATGGATGGATGGATGGATGGATGGATGGATGGATGGATGGATGAAAATAAAATGGACTAAAGGTGACACCTACTGGAGACAACCAGATCAGAGTTGCTTTACGACTCGCTGCATTTTCATTTATGACAGTATTATGAGTTGCAGTAGAGAATAAATAAAAACATTCAATTTTTCGCGTCATTACACTGAGCTGTTGTGATCAAACCGTCATATCAGGTCTCATTTTTTTCTTCCAGATTTGGATCATTTGACTTCATCCTGTCTGTTATCTGTTGTTTAAAAGATAAGTCAGTCTTTTTGTCCCTGAACATGTTTATTAAAAACACCCACCAATGTTCCTCAGAGGAAATCAGTGAAAAATAAAACTCAAAGCAGGTAGACGTTAACCAATTCCCTTTTTGCATTTATTGCCAAAATGATTCTTTTCTCCTCTTAACAGCAAATCAAATTCTTCAAATGATGAAATCTCACAAATGCATTACTTCTCCAAACATAAAAGAAACATTTTGTGACGCAGGTTTGAATTTTTTCAGTGTGAAAGGACGATGTTCTAAAGAATGAGTCAAAGTATTTTCTAATCATTGTTAAACTTGTCAGTTATACACAGAATTCTTATGAATAAGAACGTGGTTTAGTTATTTTTTTTTCTCCAGAAGTGCTTTTGCTTTGTTTTGATTCCCTTACAAACAAATAAATGAATAAGTAAACCTACAAAAGTAAATTTCAAACAGATAAAAGCTGAAGTCTGGTATTTGTGCAGCATGTTTTATAGTTTCCTGACTGCAGTGAGGTATCGACTCTGAGGCTCTTTGGTGGTCCTCCATTAGACCAGCAGATAGCAGTAAAGTCCCGCTCAGAGAGGACAGCAGCTCTGCATTGATAAAACCCAAATCCTACTGATCTCCATCAAACAGTTTGTTTCAGACCGTAGCACTTCAATCATTGAGGATTCAGCACTAATCAGGAAGCAGTGGAATCTGTCCTTAATGTTAAACGGCTCCACGCTGTTGGTGCTGCAAACAGACGGGATGAAACAAATCAGGAACACTCACTCACGTGCGCACCGAGGTGCTTCATTACTCCACTGATTTCCTTCACAAACGATTTCAGCAGCCCCCTCTAATTTGAAACCATGGTAACAGGAGTAGAGAGCGGTCAGTTTGCCAGATTTGGAGGAAAATATGAAATCTCCATTTTTTATTGGTTTTGGCAAGCCACACCCCTGGAGGTCTGAAATTGAGCAACAAAAGTTTTTGAATATTTTATAAAACAAATTAAAAACTATTTTCTGTTGTTTTTAAAAAAGACAAATCAGGTTCACCTCGACTCTTCTCCTCTCTCCAAGCTTCCAGACTCATCGATGGTATCTCACTACAGTTGACATAATCTGCAGGATATTTCCTAAATCTGAAGGAATCTGGAGGAATTTCTTCAATGTCACTGTTGTCACAGATAACACGAGACAGAGAAGCTTTCAGAAGCTCATTCCTCTGCTGCTGCGTGAAAACACCATCAGCTTCCCACCAAAACCTACAAAATAAATCAAATCATGTAAACATGTAATTGGGGTTCTTTTTCTCTTCTTTAAATTCTAATTAAAAATTCAATCGTACCTGTCACCATCACGGATTGATTTCATTTGCTTTCCGATCAGACAAGCAAACAGCGGACCGACTCTGGATCTGGGCAAGAAGTTTTCAACGAGTCCTCCGAGCCAAACATCAATGTTGTCTGGATGTTTGTACAAACTTAGAATCTTCTCGGCGACTCCTGCATCTCCCACAGCCTCCGAGAGATCATCCAAGGTTTTAATCTGTGTCAGTCCACAGAAATCCCTCCACTTGTTGTAGCCTCAAAAACAAGATTTGAAGTTTTCTTTATTTGTTAGGATCCCCATTAGTTTCCACTGAAGTGGTTACTAATCTTCCTGGGGTCCAACTGATAAAACAGTATTCATATAACACACTAAACCATTTTGACACAGACTTGATATGCACAAGATTAGTCAAACATCACATTTTAAAAAATTACACACATGAAAAAAACAGCAAAAAATGTTTAATACAAATAAGATTTCAGTGCTCTTTTAAAAGAAAGTGTGTTTTTTTAAGGTAAATTATTCCATTTCTGAACAGCTCTATAGACAACAGATTTTTTTAACAAGTTTGTCTTAGCCCGATTTACAAATAATTTTGTTTCACAACAGTATCTAAGTAACATCTGATCAGAATAAATAAGCCTTTCATAAAATGATTCAGGTCTCCCTGTTAGTATAACTTTATAAAAATGAGTAAATTATTCTGCAACCTAGCCTTTAATAAAGGCCACAACAAAATGCCAAGTTTTATTTATATTTTGTCACGTTTTGGATGAAGAATTGCTGAATTTGTGTGATGAATCGTCGTGATTTTATTATGTGAAACAGGAAACAGTTCACTGATCAGATTAAAAACCCCAAAAATCCAGTGGTCACTTTAGAAATGACTTTTTGTCTTTGTCTAAATGTTTCTGCCTTATTCCATCCTGACACTTCTGTGAAGCATTGTGAAGTATTTCACTGTGTTTACCAAATTTCATTTTAATGTTCAGAAAAGGCAGGAATGTTTTGCAGGTTGCATCGTGAACCTGTCCTTCACAGAGAGGCTCGGGCTAATAAAGCTGCAGAAATAAAAACACATTTTCTTTTAAGCATGCATTTAAAAGTCACACAAGGTTTATCCTGAACATAAATGTGTAGCTGTTAATGTAATCCCAAACCTTTTGACCTTTTCTCACAATTACTAACCACCTTTAACACATTTTCTTTTTTACAGGACATGCTTGTTATTTTCACACTACCTCTGCCCAGAACTAGTGCACTGTGTATAGAGCCAATTCTCACTGGAACATGTTCCCCTCAGGATTAACAAATTTGGATAATTAGGATGCATTTAAAAAGGATCTAAAACAAATATATTATTCATAATGAAATATCATTTAACTTATCAATTTAGTCATTTAATTGAGTGTTTCTTTTTTGGCTTTTGTATTTTAAGATCTTGGATTGTTTGAGCTACTTGTTTTGATTTGTGCTTATGTTGATTGTTTTTATTATGTTTTTATTTTATTTTATTTTATTTTATTTGGACCCCATGAAGAGTGGTCTCTTCTGAGACACAGACTAATGGGGATCTTAACAACTCTTTGGCCTCTCCATCAGTGGTGTGAAGTTTTTCTGGAGTGCAACACACCAAGTTATTTTCACACGAACGCTCTTAAAACCGCATCAGTTCTCCCTGCAGACTCAAAGTTTTTACACTTGTAAAGAAGTGCTATAAAACCATCAGTTTCCTTTTAACTACACAAGGTTATTTTTATTTTTATAGCATCAATTATTCACACAGATTCACAGAGACATGAAAACACAAAAACTAAAGATTAGGCTGCATTAAAAAAGAAAAACTGATGAACTGCTGAAGAAAACTGAAATGCAACAATTTAAAATTTATGCTTTTTCTGGTTCAGGTGTTTAGAAATCTTGAACGACTGGGGGGAATGCAGTAAATAAAAGTTGCATCACCTTGCTTGTTTCTGAACACTGAGCGAGTCCAAAATGACCCGAGGGCCCTGAACGCCTCATAAGGTCTGTGTAAATCTGAGAGGATTTGTAGGCACACAGTGGGATTAAAGAAATCTGTTTTGGGTTGTGCAGAGGTCTTTGCGGTGTCTTTAGGACGGCTGTAACACGCTCCACTTTAACTGTCTTAGTGAGAAATCAGGCAGCAGCTTTTTGAATGAAATACAAGAAAAATAATCAACATTCCAGCCTGCTGAAAATAAAAGGCTTGAACTGRGATTCTTTCATTCCTCTTATGAGCTTAAGGTGGAGGTAGACTGATTTGTTAAATGTCAAGCTGAAAGGTATAAACAGAAAGCAATTTTAAAAGTATAGAATTTGAAGTTAACATTTTCCAWGTCTCATAAGTATGAAAAATGACACAAACTTTCTAAATAGGTAGAACAGAATTTAGGATTATAAAAGCATGAGTTATTGATATTTACCCACCTACTGTAGTGATGGGTTAAATCAATGGTCCMCCTCCACATTTGGCCTGCCCCCCTGAACAATACCAGAGAGGCATTATGATTTTTTTTTGTCTGCCCCGTGAATCCTTGACTATTTTATGGGATTTTATCAGAGAAAATCTCATCAGTGCATCTCACACTACAGGCCACATGAGTGCGATGCACATGGTGCTGAAAAACAGCGCATCTGAGCCACACCAGGCCCATCACACACAATGTGACGCACACACTGTCCCGCTTTTGACCCAGTTATCTTACGAAAAGTTAAAAAAATAAATTAATTAATAATCTACAAATGTTATTTAGTTGCTGCAGTTTGCAACATTAGATAATGCCTCCTTATTTTCTGTCTCTGCCTCCTCTGTAGGAGGACGAGAGTAGAGGAGAAAGAAAGGCAAGAAGGCAGAGATGCAGTCAGCTGGTAATCACAACACACCGCTGCCACTGTGTTAAAAATATTATTATATAAAAACAGAAGAAGAATATGAATTTGATTTGTGCAATAAAAAGTCTAATGATTAAAAAAACTGTAAGGAAAGCACAGTGAGTCTACATCTGCAGGTGCCAGTGGTTCTGAAGACTAAACCCACGCTCTGCTGCAACCCTGTTGGAATAACAAGCACCACTTCAGCCAAAGTTTTAAAATTAGAAAACATTTCTCCAGTCGAAGTGATCAGAAGTCAGCAAGACTTCATTTCCAGATCCCACGAGCTGTGGCTTTAGCAGGAGGAAATCCAGCAGCGCACTTGCGCTGCGCCACTGGTTCAGCTGCACCTCACAGACACTCCAAAGCCTCCTGTCCTCAATGTGCTGTCAGCACCTGGAGATGCATTCAGTATGGTGTCTAGATCTGAGATGAACAGTTGGAATCTTTTATTTATTTTAGATTAAATAAGACATCCATGATGTAGATGTACTCTGTGCATAAAGCTGAGTGATGCCACAGAGCCGTCTACCGAAGCCTTGTTGAATTTTTTTTCTCCTCCTCACATGGCTTAATTTTTAAGTCTTCCAGACTTAAGAGGTCAGGGATGTTAACTGCAATCTGTCAAAATGACTGACGGCCTTCAGATTTTTCTGTCTGTGTAAAAAAAGCAAAACAGTCAAATAAGGAAATAATGTGCCCTGCCAGTCCCGAGTTAGAGAGGAAGGGCATCTTCCTCTTCCTCTAGGGTTATTTGCTTATTATTTATTTCACAGATAGTTGCATTTATTTCCTGACTTTCTTTTCTGCAAAGATTCCAGAGAGGGTTATTTTGTTATTATTTATTTCATAAATACTGTTATATTTCATTAATAGTATTATTATTTATTTCCTGGTACCTGGAAAATAAAATGTTTATATTAAGGCACCCCTGCAACCGTCACACTTTTTCTGTTACAAACGGACACCGGCCCCCCATCAGAGAAGGGAAAAGTTATGTGGCCCTCACAGGAAAAGGTTGAGGACCCCTGGGTTAAATCTTTGCTAGGTGGGGGGTGTCTCACCTGGAAGTCCGTGGTCTCGCCCTCTCTGCAGATTCAGGGAAGCCAGGTCCATGTTTTGATGTGTGTCCAGAACAACAAGTCTCTCAGTTACTTCCTCCACTAACAGCGAGTTTGCATGAAGAGTTGGTGCTGCCGTTCCAATCATCCCCCTCAGAGTCGGTTCAATCCCACCTGGACACAGATGCAGTCTTTCTTACAAACATCATCGTGTCATTTATTTTATGTAGCTTTATAGAAATCTGCTGCTCTACATTAATTTAATTTAACAGCCAAGACAAACAAAAACAAAAGCATTTACAGTAGCTGAGAAAAACCAATGCTGAGAGCTGAATGACTGAGGAAATCCACTGAAAAGCTAAAGGAACAGTCACTAAAAGCGTATAGTTGCAAAAGGCTAGCTAAAGCTAAAAGTAGCAAAAGTAGACAAAATTCTATAGAATACATACAGTGAAATATTTTGAAAAGTACAAAAGTTATAAAAACCTAAAGTCATAGCACCCATTTCCTGAAAAGATTTACATTTTGACAAACGTCTCAAATAGCTCAAAATATGCAGAACTAGTTAGACTGCAAAAAAATRTACAACAAAATAAAATAATGCACTGAATGCTGACTCAGCATTTACACAATTAGCAAAAACATCAATATTTGCAGTGCCTGTCTATAATTTAGAGCCTTAACACAACACGTACAGCTTTCTCTGGGTGCAGATTTTATTTTATTGTATTTATTTATTTATTTTTGGCTGGCTGGTGTTCAAACAAGTTATTTTAGGAAATACAATGACTGAACTGCAGGAACRAATATAGCATTATTTCATAAAAGCCATGCCTCTGGACACAGAAGGTTGTGTTTCTCCAGCTTCAGCCGCTGGAGATCAGTTCAGCATCCCAGCTGTTATCTTTAATGGTAACATAACTAATATGAATGTGACAAAGACAGAAAAATAAAAACAGAAATCCCACAGAACCATCCGAACAATTCTGTGGGCAAGCCAGAGGGAAGATGGAGCCTTACATGTTTTAAAAACAACTGTTTTTTTTTTTTTTTTTGGTTTACACAACAGTGGAACAGTTGCTCATTGCCAACTCTCTAATTAGCTCACCTGTTGCACATCATTAATCACCCAGTTTGTCCTGCAGGTTCTCTGCAGTTCATCAACAGATCATAGCTAAAGTCATAGCCTATGATCTACAGAGTTCATCTCCTTCAGTGTCTCGTCCTGTAAAAAAAAAGCGTCCTCCTCCTATTCCTGCTCCATCTTCCTGGAATTCWCTGCAGCAAAAACTGAAACAAGTTTGATCCTACCGAGACATTAAAGACATCTTAAAGAAAATGGAAAAGAAAAAAAATCATAATTTCAAGCTGGTCATGTTTAACCTTCTTTAAATGGTACCATGATATTTTATGATCTTTGTGGAGCTGATGCATGTGTGCCGAAAGATCATTTGCTTATCTTAGCTACCTGCTCAGGTTGCAGATTCTGATTCAAGAAACAAACAGGGACTAGATAAACGAGTCGCGTGCTTGTTGCAACATATCKGTGCAGGATTTCATTCTAAAGACATAAAAATGTTGACAGCTTGTGCATCACAAGAGCTGCATGCAACTAATCAAAACTAAAAACCACTCTGGATACTACAGCTGACCCAAATACAGCTTTTTCCCCTCATCTTCCTCTTTTTTTTTCTCCAATGAGTTTTCAGGTATAATATTAGTTTCATAAGACAGCCCTGAGAAGAGTGCACTGACCTTCTTTAACTATTCTCCAAGGACTGAAGAAAGACTCGTGCATTCTCAGGTGGGGATATTGTTCGTGCTCCTGGAAGCTTGCGTTCAGCCTGCTGAGGATTGGCGGTATGGTCCCATGGCCAAACCTGAACGCTGCAGTGGCGAAGACGTTGGAGGCTGAGGCATCCACCGTTGGATCGTATCCCCTGTAGGGTCCGACGAAACGTTCGAACGACTCCAAACCAATTATTTTGGGGACATAATCTCTCATTGTTATAATCTGAAATTTAGCATCACAAGCAGAAAAATAATCAATAATTATCTGAGTTTTAATTTTTAACAAATTCACACCTACTAACAATAATATAAAGAAAAATACCATCCTGTGAAGGTTTAAACTCACAATTTCATGTTTATTACTTCATGGTTAATCCATTTTCTACAGTTACTTGATTCTGTAATAGGGTCATGTGGAGCTGGTGCCTATCTCCAGTAATCATTAGACAAGTCATTATTTATTATTAAGAAGGTTTCTCTCTCTCACACACACACATGCACGCGCGCGCGCACAAATTTGCACAGCTATCCAATTGGGGACATTCCATCGACTTCCATGACATTTCTACAGCCTAACCCTGACCACAAACCYTAAGGCTAACCTCACATGTACCTACCTGACCCTAAAACTAACCTAAACTCAATTCACACCTTGGTCCTAAACCCAACCCCCAACCCAYCAATGGCATTTAAACCAAATGKGGACTCAACTTTTGTCCCCAAATGCACCAGTTGTCCCCAAATGTAGGTGTTTTATCTTAAAATTGCCCCCAAATGTCACCAAAAACACCCCCCCCCCCCCCCCCCCACACACACACACATGCAGAAGCACCATCGCCTCTCTCGTTCAGTGGCAGGTGATAACTCACAACTTAACCTACTTAAATGGAAAAAAGCATCAATCAGTGGGTGACAAACATACCGAGAACAATTAAAGTTGTATTTGTAACAAATTGCATCATTAATTAAACATCTGGCGCCCGCTTCAAGCCTTAGTTAAAACACTTAACAGTTGTGTTTCATTTCCTGTCAACCGCATGATGTCCTAGAAACAAAGAGGCTTTTTGGGCTCCAATTACTGCTGCAGCTCATATTTTTATGTGTTAAARTGATGCTTTCAGTGAATAATGCAGAGAATAAACTCAGCATGTTTGTGGGAACAGATGGAGAGAGAGAGTGTGTGTGTTTGTGTGGTGGGGTTCCATTAGGACTCAACCATATAGAGTGAAAATCACAACAGAGCTGTCAGCTGCTGGAACCTGCAGAGGGCTGCCGTTGGATGCTGTTTTCCCAGTTGAATCGCACCACTGGGAATCATTTTACTTCATAAACAGACACTGAAGAACTGAGATCTATAAATAGAACAAAACTCTAATGTCTTATCTGTGGACAGTTCTGTGCAGAATTCTTGGTCCATCCCTTATTTCTTTTCCTTCCAAGCAGACAGGCGTTTGTGATCTTTTAAGGTGGTCTCAATCAAAATGCTTCAAACTTTGAAAAGGTTTGAAAAGTTTCCGTTTGGATTTTGGCTACTTTTCCTCTTGGGTTCTCTGGATTTGTTTTTAGTAGCTGAGAGTCATCCTCGTCACATTATGAAGGTTTGACCAAAACCTGGTCCACTCCTCATTATAAGAAGATTTTGGTCTAAAACAAAAGGGGGTGGGTGAAGTGCATTTCTGAAAATCAGACTAAAAATAGAGTTTGTAATACTGTTAATTTTAAAGACAACTTCATCAGTTTGTAACCTGGTCAGACCAGGTTTATATTTTCACCTGTCACTGCACCTTCACTTTCTTCTTTGTCCTTAATTTTTTTTTTTTACAAACTCTTGTTTTTGTAGCTGGGCTCTTCAAAACAATTTAAGCCTCTCCACTTTCACATCAGCAGCCTTACCTGGGAAAAAAAGGAGGTTGTTGATCTGCTTCTGCACTCAATATTACAGGCTTATTTTTCTCCTTGCTCAAATATTACTTTGTGGCCTTGTAGCAGGGTCACTTCTGAACTTTAGTGGATTAAATGAATCATTTGCATCAAGTAATAATATATTTTTTYCCCCAAGATTTTTCATGAATAATATATGAACCTAACATTTCCTCATCGCTGATAATTCTCAGCCTGTAGCTAAAAGGAGTCAGTTTAATCAATCACTGTCATCTGTCTGGTCTGCTGCAGAAAGGGCAACAAAAACAAGCAGATTTCCAGATCAGTGGAAACCCCGAAACAAATGAGAGATAAAACTAAATTATAGTGTAATTTTACTTTAATTCAAATAGAACTACTTATTTTGCATTTTCCTAATTTTAGTTTTTAATTTCCTTTAATGCTGGCGTTTTTGGTAGACAAGCCAGTTTAGATCTCGTCATCAGTTCATACTGTAAATGCACCATACGGTTTGGAAATATTGCTAAAATGAAAGACATTTTTTGTGCAAAACAACAACTACATGGCAGCATCTGTTGGTCCTGCTTCACTCTTTTGTATTTTGTGAAACGTTTGACATCCCTCATCTGTTCCTGTCAGGTATCAGAGTTAAAGGGAAGTTTCAGCGTACTACAGCCTCACTGAGGTGTAACAGTGTCGTTTTCAGCGATGTTGCTACTCCATGGCTGTGGAGTTTAACAGCATCCTCTTACCTGAGCCTGTTGTGATGTTTGTACTGCTGTTTTCTGTCAGCATCAAGCCATAATCCCCCCCACCTCCTTTCTGTTGCTCTATTGTCTTTTGTTCTCAAACCTGCCTCAGTGTTGTTCTGATTTGAACACCTGCTGCGTTGTGGGAAATGTTTCAGCGAAGCGGACATGAGTTAGGAAAACTAATTTCAAACAACAGGAAAAAAAAAGCTAAGAAGAAAGTTGGTTTCTTTCATTTAGTTTTAAGTAATTAACAACCAGACACAAAGTTCTTTGTTACAAACCTGGTGCAGGGCTCCAACAATCTTGCGGGTTTCTTGATAGATGATCTCAGGGCTCCAGTGGTCGTTGATGAGTTTCAGTGTGTCTGCGATTCGGTTGTGTTCCCTGAGCCACAGTGTATGCAAAGCGATCAGTGCTAGAACCTCGTTGACCCGACTGTCTCCCGCACTGAAGCACTCCACTCGTTCTCCCTGCTGGTCCGTGCGGCACGCAGACGGGATCTTGGCTACAAAAGGAAGAAAAGATCGTCCATTTTGTTCCTTGAACCGATCGTTGATGGCCAGTTTCCCATTGAGGCCAGGAAGGTCACGAAACGTTCCCTCTAGCTGTGGCATGTGGCCGTAAACGAGAGAAGCATCGATGTACGACGTGATGGCGTTCAGCTGCTGTCGCTGCAGGACTTGTTGGAGATCAGGCCCAGAAGCGACGAAGCAGTCCGGCGAGGAGCGGCGAAAAGACATGCAGAGCGACTCTTCAGTCTGGAACAACGACAGGTTTTAATCCAAGAGGTTTTCTAAAGGAACAGTTTGAACAAAGTAAATTGCCTTTTACAAGACCTCAACATCAAAACCTTAAACGTTGGGTTTGCAAATGTTTCATTTATTTTTAGCAACATTTGAAGCCAACAGTGCCTGGATTTTAATTTAGTTATTAATTTGTGGCTATTTAAGTTTAAGCTCTTCACTCTTCATTTAAAATCAGACAACAAAACTTTAAATTAGAACTGCTAAATGTCCAAAGAACAGTGGTGGGCACTAGTCCCCTAAAGTGCTATAGCTAATTGCTGACCTAAATTTCTCATTTGCTTTAGGACTTTTGCTAAATATTTTTGAACTGTGTGCAGATTTGTGCTTTCTAATTAGCACTAATATAACTATTTCATCACGTATTGATCATCATTATGTCTAACATCAGAGGGAGAAAGGAAGAATRATACAGCACAGCAGATATTTTTGTTCTTCTTACCTCAATGGGGAAGCAGGGATGCACATTTTCACATGTTTTATAGCAGTCCACATCCGTCCAAAAAGCAGCACTTCTGATGCTCTGAGGTGTAAAGGTTATGTCGTGATCAATGTACTGTCCCCAGTCCACCAGCAGCTGAGAGTAGTCATCTTCTCTCCATTTACAGGAGCTCCTTATTATTTCCCTGCTGACTCTCCGAGGCTGTTGACACATTTTGATTTGCTTTTATTATTATGGAGGACATCTCCTTTAGACTTAGTTTCACATAAAACCCTGAGGTGCTCTGTGCGTCCATACCTGCCCATTCTTTCATCTTTTAACTAACGTTTTAAAATAGATACATTTATTTGAAAATAAAAAAAAGCTTGTTCTCATTTATGTAGAATCAAGAAACGGGTGGACCGACCCTTTCTGGGTTGGGAGAGATCTGCTGCCTCAAGGAGTTTAAGTTGAGGTTTTGCTTATGAGTGAGGGACAAATGGACGGACAATAAAATATAAGTCCTGGTAAAACTTTGGCTGGATGAAACAGGTTTCCACATTCATCAATAAGGAGAAAAACGTTGGGCTAAAATTCCTCATCAGAACAGAAAATGTTCTGGACYGAAACAAAAATAAAGGTTTATCAACCTACAGAAGTTTAATCAAAATGTCGGAACAGTTTCCATTAAAACGCAGGCAGCAGAAATATGTGTCATCGCTCACATTATTCCTCCCTCTTCCTAAACAGCTGTGGACTTTATCGACTTTAAAACAGGCCGGAGAAATAAATGGAAAGCTACATCGACTCTCAGGGTCAGCTCACTTTATTTCTGCAGCCGAGACTCAAGATTACCGGGGGAAGTTGGAATCCATTATGGAGCCGTTCTCGGTTCCAGCCCTTGGGTTCTCCCTCCCCATCTTCATATTCAGCTGGAAGCCATCTGACCAAGGCGCTGTTGGCCGCTCCCCAGCGAGGATTTTGTCTGACAAAAGAGAATCATGAAGTGTGTCCAGATTTACTGCAGAGGAAAACAGAGCTCTGTGCTTCCATCCAGATCATTCAAACGTGTTTAAAACGCCACATTTTTACCATCAATTAAATAAAACCCATCACTCTCAACTTATTGATGGGTTCAATTAGTTTCTGCTTTGATTTTGACAAAATGCAGCTAATTATAGTTAACGGCACAATCAATCACATGCTGCTAATTTACTCCACACATTCGATCCTGACATCTTCTGACTCACAGCTGACAGTTTAAAGAGGAATGTGAGCGCAGCAGAACTATGGAAGCTGAAAGAGGACATGMTTAGACAGTGATGCTCTTTGGTAGAGAGAAATAAACAGGCTACCTGTTGTTGCAGACTCCAGATATAGTTCTGTATTTGTTGTGGCGACTTTGCTCACAGAGGTCCGGCCCTGCTGGATCTGGACACTGAGACAGCTCCGCCAGCAGCGCCACATTTTCCCACGTCAACAGGTCTAAAACCAAAGGACAGTCTGGAGAAAATAACCTGAACCTAATGCTGCAAATCTCTATATGCTTTTAAAAAGTTTGCTTTATAATCTTTTTTTTTTTGCCAGTACTTTTTGAAAGTTGTTTAACTTTAAGACTAAAAAAACTAACCTGAAGCAGTGAAAGTCCTTTTATATTTCTGTTTCGCCCTGTCCTTCAGAAGCTGCAGGGCCGTGTGAAACAGCTCTCCTGCTCTGGAAACCCCCAGAGTGTCAGGCTCAGCGTGAGTCGTGCTCCGTCTGTGAACAGAAACACATTTATATAAAAAGATATTTTGATTCCTTTTGTCCTTTATTGGACCGGCTGCAAACTTTCCCTCCAGCCGGTCTGAGAGTGARCCACCTTCGTCTGTCCTGATGGGAGGTGTCCTCCACAATCTGAAGGCTTTCTTCATGAGATAAGATCAGCAGCTCTCTGATGGTGGAAGCTGGGAGATAAAAGTCATTAAATGAGTTAAAATGACTAATTCAATGTTAACATTCATGTTTTTAATCAAACAAGTTTAAAGAGTTGTTTTCGGCGGTCAGTTCTTTTCCCTTGCTGTGATTTAGGTTTTAGACATTTTGCGGCATTTTACAGCACAAATACATACTCACAGTTAAAAGCAGTGACTTCATCAGAAGAAAGCCTCGATTGAACGACGCAGACCGACGTTACAAAGAAAAGCAAACAGATAATTGTCATTTTTATCGGCTTTCTTCACATACGACCGCAGGAAAGTTCTGCGGTTCACCAAGGAAACGATCTTTATACGACGACGTAAAGAGAGACTCTTGAGAGCAGAGGTGTGTTACAGCAGATTAACTCACATACTTGAAGTTTCTTTTCGTCTCAGGTGACTGATTTGACTGTTTTCTGTTTTAACATAAGCATTCAGKAAGAATTGAAGATTTGTGACTCTCACCATCAGTTTGGTTTATTCACAATGTTTCTCAACAAACAGGAGCTGCTGTGGGGTTTTCTTTAAAGGGGACAAGTTTTACTGGATTAACTGAGCTTTTGTTTAAGGAGAGATTTTTTTTTAATTTTTTTTGAAGAGAATGGTGTCATTTCATGCTTCTACTTTACAGTTAGATATTTTCAAAACCTTATGACCAGTTTGGAGAATWTGCTTCTTTTTTCCAATTAATGTTTAATTTAATTTACAAAACCCTAATAGAAACCTTTAACAGACCCATCTCAAAGCAGTACCAATGTTTTTTGAGGCAAAGACAGAATAAATGTATAAAATGCACTCCTGTTACCAAATATTTGAGTAAATAAAATTATTACAGACAGATCATTGAGCTGAAACAGAATCTTTATTCTGAAAACACATTAAGTACCTCATATTACTGAAGAAGTACTTGTTCTTTTGCATTTACTTGGAGAAAATCGAGGACATGAAAAAATAATCTTTGTCAGCAGAAGTGTCAGGACACTTTTAATGGGTTCACGGTTTTGTAGGAGTGCAGCGGTTACTGTGGAAACATCACAGACACTCCAGTTSGAGTCTCCAACTGCGAGAGTCACGGCCCGCTGAGAGTCGAGCAGAGTGCTTGAGATTCACGCTTCACATGGTGCTGATGCAACCTGATGATGCTGCGTGGCTCCAGCAGCGAGCCGAGGATCCTCTCGTCACGGCGGCTGCCTCAKCCAGGAGCGCAGAACGCCTCGCAAGGAAAAACCCTGCCACTGGGAAGATGAAGGAAATCCAGCAGCAGCTCTGTCACCGAGAGGTTCAACAGCCTTTAACGCTCAGCGGACGCYGAGTAAATGTTGGAACTCCTGCCTCTGCAGTCTGCTGACTTCTTTAAATATTGTAATAAAGCTGATCTGTGGGGAAGAAAAACTACAAAGTCTGGCACTTTTATGCTCCATGTGGTTTTTTTTTTATTTTAAACTTTATTAATGTTTTGCAAATATAAAAGAAAATAAGTTTGAGTGTGTGGCACCATTGATCTATTATTGGATCACGTGATTTAGTCATGCAAGGAATATCAAAAAGGACGCAATATTTTGCCTTAAATTGTCAACACTATGACAAGATCACAGGATCAAAAGGTATCACATTTCACAGGTTTTTAAAAAATGTATAAAAAAAGCAAAGATGCAGGAAGTAGGTCAGTTATGCTAGCTTGGTTATKCCAGGTAAACCCACTCAAAGACAAATTTACGATTCCAACAAATTTTAATTTTTTATCAATATTGTCATGATAGGATAATGGTGTGGGAGGTTGTAAATATGTACAAAAGTAAAATTACCTTTACTACTACTAGGCTGAACTGTTGGTACCAGTGTTTTTGTCCAGTCAGCATGTATTATGTCCGTAGTTTACTTTCTTTACATCTTTCTTTCTATCTATCTATATATATATTACACATATATAATCATAGAGTAAAAAAAACTACCCACTGTACATTTTGTAAGCTTCCTAAGTGGCAGAGGGGTCAACTGCATTTATTTTATGATCAGCTGTAAGAATTTGTGTTCAGTCACAAGTCATATTGTAAAGAAATCAGATAAGAAATCTGGGCACTATGAATRTTTTTGTGACGACAGATGCAGATCCCTCATTGGAACAAACGTTTGGTTGACATGACTCAGTGTATAGTAATGGCACCTATGAAGGCGCGTCACTATAGCAGCTAATAGGCAATGTCTAATCCAGTAAAACAGCAATGTSTAACATTTAAATCAAGTCACAACAACCAGTGGTCAGATTTTTGTGAAACCTGCAGAAAGCAAAGCTAACAAAGAGCTTTATTTAACTCGGTGTAAAGATTTTGAGCTTAAATTTAGATTTGGTGTTGGATGAGAGGCACAAAACAGCTCTTTTTCTCAGCATGAAATGATCAGACACACAAAAAGTGAGTGATATGARTTCCTTCAAAAAACAACAAAAAAGCTTTTTATTTTCAAGTTCTTTCATTTGAATACAACTTGAAGTAACCGTTTCTCTAACTTTCCACACAGTAATGTTCTGCCACTCACATGAAGCTGGCTYAGGGGGATCCCCAGACCTGGTCCCCACTCAGGGAGCACTGGGAGGCTCCTAAACAGGTCTCTGAGTCCTGGACCTGCCCTGAGGTCTTCTCCTGGTGGAACATGATTAAAAGACCTTGCTGCCAGGAAAAAGACAGCACTTTTCTGTATTTTGTATTCAAAATGTAAAATAATTGGACAAGGAATGAGAAACTCATTAGACTCTCACCTCCWGTCTTCTCTCTTGTATTTTATGTCTCTCTGAAAAACTAGAACTTCATTTCAAAAAGTCAAAAAAGGTTTTTAAAAAAGGAACATGTCAAAGATACCCAAACTTTATTTAGTCTAAAACAAGATCTTATGAAAAGCTTTTGGCCTGAGATTTCATGAGGGAAGACAAATACAAAAGATTTTGGTTTCAATAAAAGTTTTATTTTTAGAAACATGGCAATATTAGAACATTTTTGGAGCAGCTCCTCTCAGTCCGAGACGTTCCTTCTTTCACCAAATATATTATGAGTAAAAACCAGCAACTTCTAAAAAATAAAAAGGTCAGACAGTTTGTGAGCTAAAAGAAAGAAAAGTGGATCGCGAGGCGTGAAACGTGTACAGGTTAAGGAACATTTAACAGAATGAAAGTGAATTTCCTGGAGCGGGGCAAAAGTAAATAATGGCTTCAGAGGGAAATTAAAAAAACTTTACAGGAAACAGCAGATAAACTACAAGCAGTCAGGATACATTTCTTTTTTTTATATAAAAGACGAGTGAGATTTGAAATATATTAAAAACAACAAATGCCAAACATCTGTTAGGATGAGATTTTAAAAACATTTTGAGGCTGCAACTAYTTGAGACCAGCTGTCTGTTCAATATTACAAGAGTACATTTTCAGTTGCAGTCTCTGAATTCTGAGTGGGAACATGTGAGTTGTGAGGCCACAGCTCGAGCAGTGAGATTTGGAAAATCAAGGTTTGTTTTTGTGTGCAAAAGACAGGCTGTAGGAGCGACGGAGCTGCCTGGACCTGGACGTTTTGAAGGTTTTCTGTCGACACCAATATCCAAATACAGCTGAAGTGCTGTAAATTTTACAGAAAACAATTCAATGTGTGTGAAATGTCGGCAGCATGTTGACCGGCTGCCTGTGTGACTCAAGAAAACTGAGAATCGCCATAAAGATCTGAGATATTTTGGAGACTCCTGAACCTTAATTTGAAAACTAGTTGACAACAGTTACAGCCTCTGATACATTTCTTCATTTCTCACATACAGAAGATTAAGACAAACATGTTGGCACAAAYGTGTTTTTTAAAGAAAAAGGTTGATGCTTCTCAAATCAGATCCATGGTGACTCAGTTCACCAGGAACACAAAGTCCTCAGACTAAAAACAGAGCTGGAAAACAAAGCTGTAACAGAAGTTAAATATGAATCTGAAACTGTTTTTTTTCTGTTTTATCAAAATGAAGAGCAGCTTCACACCATTTGGTTTCATTAATGCTACTTTTTTATGAGAAAACTAAAAAATAATAAACTTAAAGAAATGGAAGAACCTTCGTTTCTAGCTGCCGTCTCAAAATAAAAAWAAATCCTGTCTGGTTCGCACACGAGCTCCCTCCACAGTCCGTTACAAAGACTTTCAGCAGTTTGTAGAAAAATATTATGAGCGACACAAACATCTGTGTGTAAAATACAGAAGATCATTTCATCGCCACGTTGAGGACGAGTCTTTAACTGTTCATGTAGCTTCCAGGGAAGCTGTGACTGCACATAAACAGAGGGTCCATGGAGGCCACTTTGGCAGCAATAAAAGAGTGTATACAGTGGAGGACTGCTGTTAGGTTAGCAAACTCAAGTTCCTGAAAGTCAAAGAGAAAATATTCATGGATTAGTTGTCATTTTAAAAAAAATAAAGATTGATTTTGGTTACTTCAAGTGTAATTTTCTCATTAATTCTGCTTGTTTGCAGAGCTTTGTTTCAGGGCTCCTCGGACCCGTTTCCTTGTTTCAGCACACCTGATTTAAATTATTGAATCRTCAACAAACTTCTGCTAACTTCAACGACATGAAGTAATTCAACGATACAAGTACAGAACTGCCACCAGAATGTCAAACAACAACACATGCTGTTGTTTCAGTACATACCTGCTCCTCTTTTCAGCCATGTTTCCATCAACAATTTTTWRGSMAWTTKRA